TAAAATCCATTAGATACCTACTCGCGTAATAAAAGCGAACTTGACAACTTAAAGCATATATTTTCAAGTCGGATCGCATCAAGATTTTTCTTTGAAACTTATTAACATGAATAAGTTTAGCTATTTTATGGGAAACCGAGCATATTTTGAGCTACCCGAATTTAGTATGTTGTTTGCACGAATAAATTTCGAAAGTTTGCATTCTCCGACACTGGCACTCTTCAAGTTTGTTCGAGATTAGACTCCCACACAACGATTATCCCGAATTTTGGCAAAACTATAGTTTATGTTTATGATTCATACAATCGTCAACCGTTTTTGTGTTTCTAGATTGTGATCGTTTGTTTTTATAAGTTTATTTATAAAAACTTTCCTAATTAATAACAAAATTTTAAACAAGACGTGTTGCTCTAGTAATTATTCTAAATAGAAATGTACTATAGAGTGCAAAAATCACATTAATCTATTAAAGCACTTCCTGTCACGATGGTTAGACATTATGTGTGATATATAGTATCAAGAGCAACGTTCCGTTTAGTGGTTAGAGGGGTTTCGTGATCACGCTAGTAAATCCGATAGGCCGCTTTATCTTATTTACGGCCTGTTTTAGTAACGACGCAAACGTTGTTGGTGAAAATGTTTGCGACTAAACGCGAAAGAGGGTCGGAGGAATGGAGAATTATTACGATCTTTGGTGGGCGTGCGCTCAGGAAGTATTTGTGTACAAAAGCTCCCGCCTGAATTATTGAGGATCCAGTCGGTCTGCCATGAATATTTTCGTTAAACTTTGTTGACCTACCGCAGATATCTTCCGGAAAGTTTTCCCAAAGGAGTGCCGAAGCGTGCGCTAGCATGCGCCACGTCGGCAAACGTTCCATCCGCCCTTCAAAAGATGTTGGAATATCGTCGGTAAATTTCGCGCTGGATTGATCAAAGTACGCGAATAAACTTGAAAAACTTTTTTTGAAATAAATGCACCATGCAAAGAGTTCTAGTACCTTTGATATGTAAAAGTACCTATACCGAACATTATTTGTGGTGTGAAGGAAATGTTTTAAAAGTTTTGTAAAAAATGGTCGTAAAAGTAAAAGTGCAAATTTTGTGCTAGTTTCTCGTGTTGACACGACCTGTAAATAAGTTGCGTTTATTCCAGCACCTTTGACAGGTTTATCATTTACTTCCTCGCTAAATATTAATGTCCACTCGGACGCTTTGATCTACGTCCAACTAGGTTTGTTGCGTCGTGTTACTTTGTTTGTATATTTTGTGCTCATCTTGCGGCAACCAACTCTTTTCATAATCCCCAAAAGTATGCACAAACTTAGAAATGTAGATTTATTATTTTTTTTTAGATATTTCAAACTTAAACCCGTCTTCGGTTTTATTTGTAAACAACATTCTTTTTTAGCGACGTGATTTGCTAAACGATCGTTTTTAACGGGATTTAACAGGATGCTTTAAAAGAAATATCGCCAGGGAATTCTTTGAATAGCATCCGGGTTTCTGTGTAAACGAAACTACAACATTGTTTTGGGTAATAGTCAGATATTTTCTAGATTTATTTTTAGTGCAGTTACTAGGAAGGAGTTTTCACATTATTTCGTGTGTTTGGAAACTTTAAAAATGTTATTTTTTTTTGTTCTACTTTTCAGATCTGTATAAATTTGGAACAGATTTACAGTTAATTTAATTTAAAAATTAATTTTCATTACTCGATGTCTTTTAATCACTTGAAGTGGTTCCTGATTATATGGGCTTCACCCAATCAATATAGCATTAACTAATTCCCAATAGACTCGAATTGTTCTGAACAGCTTTCCAATTGGTTCCTAACTATTTCAAATAACTCATTATTACTAGTTCTGAATTTATTTAGTTACTAACTGTTCGTGATTAACCCGAATGGCCCCGAACGAGCTCAAATTTAATTTACTAGATTCTATTTTTTTCCGAATCACTTCCATTGACTCATAATACCTTTTGAGGTAGTTATAAATTACATCAAATATTTTAAAGCAATCTCCAATGATCAATTTAGGCCCAACTACTGCTCAATATCATTCAAATTGCTTTTAACATCTTCAAATTCGTTCTAAACTACACTTAATAAATGATATTGTCTCCGAATGGCTCTCAAATGCTTCCAATTGCTTCCCAATGGCTGCATTAACTTTCCAAGTGATGTATTCGAATGCTTCTCGATTTATCCCAGAATGGCTGGAATCAACTCAAATTTATTTCAGTGGGTTTTAATTGCCTCCGAATATCTTCAAAAGCTTCCTAATACTTTTTGTAATAGTTGCGAATTACTTACAATGTTTTAAAGTGATTACCAATGATCAATTTTGATTTAAATAATTTTTAATATCTTCAAATTGGTTTCGTATTATTCTTAATAATTCATATTTTCTCTGAACGTCTGTTAACTGCTTCCAAATGTTTTCCAATGGCTTCATTTGGTTTGCAATTGTCACCGAATAGTTTCTATTGCCTTTAAATAGCTTTTGTAATATGTAGTTACAAATTAAATTGAATATTTTAAAATATTGATTGCTCCAAATAAGTGTCAACTGCTTCAAATTGCTTCCCAACGACTTTATTTGCTTTCCAAGTGTTTAAGATTTATCCGAATGCCTTCCAATTGTTATTAAATTGGCTCTATACGAGCTCAAAGTTATTTCAATGACTTCTAATTGCCCCAAATGACTTCAATTGGCTTCTAATATCTTTTACAGTAGTTACGAATGATGAGTTTCGGTATAACTAACTTCCAATGTCCTTGAATTTCTTATAATATCTTAAAATTGCTTCCACATACTTTTAATGTTTTAATTGTTCTTACCTATTTGCAATTGCTTCCTAATAGCTCTGTTTGGTTCCCAACTATTCCAAATTAATTCGAATGTCATTAGATTACTCAAAGAATGGCTCAGAATGGGTTCAAATTTATATCAATGGCTTCTAATTGCTCCGAATGGCTTCCTTTGGTTTATAATGCCTTAGAATTTGTTACCAATTACTTAAAAAGATTTAGAATGATTCCCCACTGGACCCAAGCAGCTTCAAATACCTTCGAATTGGTTTTGATATTTTCAAATTGCTTCCAAGGTACAGTTAATACCTCATTATTGCTCCGAATGGCTGTCATCTGATTCCGATTGGTTTCCATTGAATTTATTTATTTTCCGTGTGTTTCAAACTTATTAGTTTGCTCTGAGGATGGCTCCGAATAGCTCAAATTTATTTCAGTAGCTTATAATTGTCGAGAGTTTGCTCCTAATGTCTTTTGTGGTAGTTTCTAATTTTCTCCGAATGACTGTCAACTACTGTCAATTGCAACCATCTTTGTATTCTAATTATTCTTAATTTGTCCGAATGCCTCTCAATTGGTTCCAGAATAGCTCCGAATGATCTCCAATCGATTGTTTTGGGGTTCGAATTGTCGCCGAATAGCTACCATTAGCTCTTAACATCTTTTGTATTTGTTACAAATCTTCTAATTGCTTACCAATGACATTATTTAGTTTCCACCTATTCCTGATTGATCCAAACGCGTCTCGATTACACTCAGAATGACTCCAAATGGTTGTCATTCTATCAAAATCATTTCTGTGATTTCATATTCTTTTCGAATGGATTCCAATGAATCTAATATTCTTTATAGCAGCAGAGAACTTTATCGAATAACTCGAAACGATTTATAATAATCATTTTTGTTCCAACGAACTCTCAACAACTTCAAACTATTCTCAACATCTTAGAATTTCATTCAGTATGCTTTCAATTTGTCAGAATACCTCACAATGACTTCCACTTAATTTCAATTACTTCCCACTGGATCCTGTTGGTTTTCATTTGTTGCTAATTAATTCTGGTGCTTCTTAATTCGTGTCAAAATGACTTCGAATGACCTCCAATACATTTATTTCTTTTCCAATTGACGCCGAATATCTCCTAATGTTTTTTTATGGTAATTACGAGTTGTATTGAATGTTTCAATGATCAATTTGTTCCCAAGTAACTCTTAATAGCTTTGTAATGCTTGTAACGTCTTCAAATGATTTCCAAACAATTTTTTATAACTCATAATTGCTCCGAATGACTGTCATCTGCTTCTAATTGCCTTACAATGGTTACAATTGATTTCCAATTCTTCCTGATAAATTCGAACACGTCGCGACTGCACTCAGAATGGCTCCAAGTTACCTCAAATCTATTTCATTGGTTTCCAATTGTCCGCGAATAGCTTTAATTTTTTCCTAATACTTCTTGTAGTAATTACGAACTACATCGAATGTTTTAAAATGATCGAACTACTACTGATAACTCATATTTGCTCCGAATGGCTTTCATCTGTTTCTAATTGCCTCCTAATGGCTTTCTTTCATTTCTAACTGTTCCTAACTAATCCGAATGCTTTTCGGTTACTCATTATGGTCTCGAATAACCTTGACTGTATTTCAGTGATAGTAGATTAACTAGTTTGGCTCTAACTGACTTCTAAGAGTTTTATTTTACATTGCTTTAAATTTTGCTGTATTTAAAAATAATGTCGATGACTTTACTTATTTTAGTCAACACAGGATGAACAATACACACTACTTTGTCATTACAAAAGCTTATTTATACCAATCTAATGACGTTGAGTAAATGCCAAAATATGTATTCTTATTCAAAGGAAAAGAATTTGTAAACGTTAATGTATCACGACTTCCTCAATATTATTCAAGCAATCGTGACAAAACCAAAAGTGTTCTTATTGCATATCGGGCTCGAATTGAGGTCATCCCAACAATACCCGTCAATCGCAATGCCAACACACCGAGAAGAAAAGAAGATCGGGAAGGCGTTCAACGTGTGACCCGATTTTCGGGGCGCGTCGCGACGTACGTCGTCGCTTGGTCCATAGCCGATGTGCGCGCAACCTTGAAAACGGTGCGCTCGGCGTCGCGACGCCAAAACTCGGCCGTTCTCGGCGAGTCTCTCAAGCCAGTCAAACGGCTGACTTCGGCCGACGCCGATCGTCGTCAGCGTCATCAACATTAAGTAGTCTTATCAGTTATACCGTCTCACCGGATGATGACGCTCGATTTTCTTCTTAACCCGTGGCACCATACAGTGTGATGACGACCAGATGACAACGCTGTGTGCATGGCATGCTGTGAACTGCGGATAGACAATGCCCGTGAGCACGGGGTCACTTGGGGAACCTCGCGCCAAGCGCTGCAAGCACTGCGACGGTAATGACATGACTATGGTGGTTGTTGTTGTTTGTTGTTGGTTTTTTATTTTCTTGGAGTGATGAACACAAGTTGTGGGAAATATGTTTCAAGAAGATAGACGAAGACCTTATGCTATCTAAATAACATGTTTTTTTGTTTTGCTAATAAATGATATTGCTAACTGAATGCTCACTTATAACCAAGTCCTTTATGCTCCTTAATTAATTAATGTATTTACTAATGTATCAATACAATAATGTTTTTTTAGAATGTTGATGTGCTGTAATCACTGTAATAACTAAAATGATAATAAGGTTTCTTTATATTATTAAATAAGAAATTCTTGTATGTTTTTGTGAGCTTGTTGAATTAGATTCATTCAATTACTACTATCTAACGAAATTCTGTCGCAATACAAGAGACTCCATCCACGACATCGTTAGAGAATGTGTGCCGTATATAAATAGAGGTCCTAAGATAGCGTTAGCGTCTCCTCTTTGACAACGAGCCATACTACTACTGTTCATTGTCCTTCTCTTCGAACGTTTGTTTTGTACGAGTTCCAGCAACCCCTTTATTTTGCCCAAAATGTATCTGATTTCTGGAACTTATAATGAGTGAATTATGCGGGAACGCGGCGTATTTGTTTATTTTGGGCCGGTTTGTTTGGCTGTCAGGTGGGTTTATTTTCGGACGACGCGCTAAATATATGATTGATATGTTGGTCACAGAGGCGGGTGAATCATACGGAGAAAGCTGTGGATTTGTAGATGTGTGTGTTTTTACGTGGCGACATAATTTCGAAAAGTTGCCAGCTGAAACCCCTTTCATTTAATGTTTGTTACCAATTACTCAATCGCGAAGGATATGACAAATTATGCTTTTTACGTGATATATCTTTTTTAATTAGGTCTTAAAAGAGCTTTGACCCGATCGCGCACGTTACACACCACATCCCTACTAATTAATATTTACAAAACCGTCTCGGAGTTGTTAACAATACGAGTCTGGCGGTCATTAGAATTGTAAAATAATCAAACCTGCGCTGCTTTTTTATCGTGGTGGTAAAATTAACGAGTTAGTCCGATTCAGCACCGCGTTCGTTCGAATTCTTATGAATAATACAAGCGATACGCTCGAAGAATTGCCATCAAATCAGCATTGGTTTTTCGAACAAAAAGTACATTTCTAAAATCGCAATACATTTAAACTGAGACGAATAAAAGAAATAAATTACCCGGCGTAAAAATGCAATTACCTTCTTCGCCACAAATCCCGATACGTAACTTGCTTATCGTCCACGTCCGAAGGCATAACGTTCCATGAAACGACTCTCCGCGCGATAATTACTTTATCCAATTATAATCGGGGATTTATAACGCTCCATCCGAAGCTGGGCACCCGTCATGTTTAATTTATTAGACGCGACCTGTCATCGGGCAGCGCGATCACTTTCCTCGCCGTTATTAAATTTCATGAATATATGGAACAGTTTATTGCTACCCCGTCCAATTATGTGCCCATTAATTCCACTCGATTGGTCCACAGACATGAAAGCGAAAAGGGCTTTTCGTGATCCCTTCTTTGTTCGTGCGCGCAACCAGGTGGTGAAATGATATACAACGTGGTTTGTATTAGACTATTAGTTCTTGTCCGCACGATGATGGACGAGATTTCCATTTACGGTGTTTTTCTATATTTGTGATGGTCATAAATCATTTATTGGATGTTGTCGTATATGTCGTTATAATTATGGTAATACTGGAGATAACGTGATACATTTGGCGCTATCAAAACCATCTACAATATGTTGGAGATAATAATTCAATTACACTGACGTATCGATTAAAGTAATTACGTGTTATTATAAGAGAGTAATATGTGGGAAATCGATACTCTTAAATCTAATTAAATACAAGTAAATAATTTGTTCATTTTTTATAATAACAACATATTTTGCTCAAGTATCGCTTCATACTCAGTCTGGAAATTCTTTCTTTATCTATATTCTTATTTTTTGCACGGTTTCGCGGGTTGATTTGACTTAACTATTAGTTTGTAGTCTTTGATATCTTATAGAATTTTTCGTTCCTATTTTTGCGACATAGTTTAGATATTTAGCAATATAGGTACCACATTTACTCGTAGTAATAGTACGCCGATTATTTTTCCAAAAAGACTATAAACTTTTTACAACTTTTCGCAGTCCTTGATTTTTTACAGGACTGTTGCCAAAGTTTCCCAAACAAACCTGGATATAAGTTCCTGCATATCGTTAAAAATTCCTGAGATAACCTCGTCTACTTTTGAAAATACCATGTAATCCCTAGAAATTAAAGATATTCCCGGATATCCTTAAAAACCTTTGAAAGCATCCTGAAAATCCCTGAATATTTTTGTAAAAATTCAGAAGTTTTCTGAAAATCCCAGGATATGTTTACAAATTCCTGGACATCTCACAGCAAAACTTTAGAAAACTATTTTCTAAGAATATCTAGGATTCTTAGAAATTTATAGAAAATCTTAAGAAACATTTAGAAATTAATAGATATCTTTAAGCTCCTACAGAAATCTTTGAAAATTTAATTTAATATTTTAGGATGTCCTTTAACATCTTTGCAAATCCTTAAAAGTGACCTTTAAATATCTTAAGAAATATTTAGAAATTAATAGATATGTTCGAAACCCTGCAATAATATTTAAAAATGATCTAGAAAGTCTTTCCTTTAATGTATTTGTAAGTCTTTAAACAAATCTTAGGAAACATTTAGAAATTAAAAGATATCTCAGAAATTCCACAGAAATCTTTGAATATGATTTGAAACCTCGCAGTAAATCTTCTGAAATTCTGCAATACTTTTGAAAATCCTTTGACAAGCAAAACGTCTTTGATAATCTTTACAAATTTTCTGAAAGTCATTTAGAGTATTCTGAAAATCTCTAGAGTTATCTTTAGAAATTCCTGAATATGGTCGGAAACTCTTTGTAATTCCATATAAATCTTTGAAAATGATATGACAATCTCAGGAAATTTATTTTAAATACTTTAATGTGTTTGACAATCTTTGGACAAATCTAGATGTCTTCGGTAATCTTTAGAATTTTTTTGGAAATCATTTCACAACATTACTTAAGTCCTCAAAAGACTCCTGAAAAGCCATTAGCATCTTTGCAAATCCTAAAAAGTGCTCTGGTAATACGAAGAGTTATCTAAGAAGTTCCTAGATATCGTTAAAAACTCCTGAGATAACCCCTTCTACTTTTGAAAATACGATGTAATCCCTAGAAATTACGCATTAACTCTCCGAAGATATTCCTGGATATCTTTAAAAACCTTTAAAAGCATTCGGAAAATCCCTGAATATTTTTGTAAAAATTTAGAAGTTTTCTGAAAATCTCAGGATGTGTTTTGGTATTCCTGGACATCATAGCATATCTTTAGAAAACTAGTTTCTGAGAATATCCAGGATTCTTAGAAATTTATGGAAAATCTTAAGAAACATTTAGAAATTATTAGATATCTTTAAGCATCGACAGAAATCGTTGAAAATTTAATATAATGCTTTAGGAAGTCCTTTAACAAATTTGCAAATCCTTAAAAGTGCTCTGGAAATACTAAGAGTTATCTAAGAAGTTCCTGGACATCATAGCAAAACTTTAGAAAACTACTTTCTAAGAATATTCAGGATTCTTAGAAATTTATGGAAAATCTTAAGAAACATTTAGAAATTAATATATATCTTTAAGCATATATCTTTAATCGATACTTTAAATATAATTAAATACAAGTAAATAATTTGTTCATTTTTTATAATAACAACATATTTTGCTCAAGTATCGGTTCACACTCAGTCTGGAAATTCTTTCTTTGTCTATATTCTTATCTTTTGCACGGTTTTGCGGGTTGATTTGACTTAACTATTAGTTTGTAGTCTTTGATATTTTATAGAATTTTCCGTTCCTATTTAGTTATGTAGTTTAGGTTTATTAGTATTGTATAGTTTAGGTATTTAGCAATATAGGTACCACATTTACTCGTAGTAATACTACGCCGACTATTTTTCCAAAAAGTCTATAAACTTTTTACAACCTTTTCGCAGTCCTTGATTTTTTACAGGACTGTTGCCAAAGTTTCCCAAACAAACTGCAAAATTTGCACAATAAAACGCTTTGGCGACTCAAAACATCCACACTTTTTTACTCTGAAAGAAATTAATCTTTAGACAATTTAAAGTTTATCACTTTCGTCTTGGATGTAAAAATACAAAAGTCAGAGACTACAGTAGTTTATCACGATTGTTTGGTCGCTTTTCAAAGGTAAACATTTCTACATTTCTAAGAATTATTTTTGGATTTCAAGGTTCTTTCTAAGCGCACATTATTCATATTAAATAATCAAATTCTTCGATTGGTCTTTTTTATTCAAAATTTGACGTGGTCTTATTTGGGTTTCTTACTTTTTGATCATTGTAGAATAAGAGGCAGTTTTGTAGTGATAAAATTTGTCTGATTAATCTTAAACATACAGGACAGTTTTATTTTTAACATTACACATTCTTACTTTCAAAATAAGGATGACGATTCTTATTGTTATTGATATGTGGTCATCTGGAAATTCTTAGAAATGCTATGAAATCTCTAGAAATGACTTAATATCATTTTGATGATATTCCTGGATATCTTTAAATGTTTTCGGAAGCAATATAAAATACTTGGACATTTTTGCAATTTCTCAGAAATTTTCTGAAATCTGGAAAAAATTCCGGGTTGGGTTGGGTTACATTAAAATCCTGGAAAACCTTTGTAAATCTTAGGAAACATTTAGAAATTAAAAAATATCTTTGGTAATCCTTAGAAGTTTCCTGAAAATCTTTGCAAATCTTAAAGTGCTTTGGAAATACCAAGTGCTATCTTTAGAAGCTCCTAAATATCGTTGGAAACTCATGGAAAATCTTGCCTATTGTTCAGAATCTTTGATATACCACAAAATATCATATATTACTAGATATTTTTGAAAA